CAGCCACTTTGTTCGAGTTTCTTCTTTACACCTTTTCTATTTTTTCACGATTTATATCCGTTTGCTGCTGTTAACGATAGCTCGCTATTTATCTCTTTCGCACACGCTCATTTGTAGTTACGCTAGAAGGCCGAGTGAAATGTTGCTTTTAAAGGCCCTCTTCACTTCTCGAAGCTCGAGCACATTTACACACATACTTCTTTTTCCGTTTTCTTCTTTCCACATCCACTAAAATTTTCGATACAAAATCCCCTCAATTGGGTTCAAAGCTTTCAATTTTGTTGTTTAATTCATCAATTATACATTTTCTTATTAGCTCTATCCACAAATTCGGCAGATTATTCACTTATGCATTACGCTTTTAACTGAATTAGAAATATTCCACTCAATTCAATTAAATTTCGAATATTTTCAACATTCGTTTCTGCGCGTTTTGCCACTGCCAACTCTGTGGCACACGCACGCACACACACACACAACTCGTTCATTCGCGCCGCACATACAATGGCATACGTCGGCTACGACAGTACAAGTAGCAGCAACGGCGGCTTCTTCTCGTCTCGGGCTCCACTCTGGTATAGCTACTACGCTGATGACGGGCGCGACGTCCTCGCTGCTGCTTCGGCCAGTGCAGTGACTGCGAAGACGACGACAGCGAACAGAAAGTAGGCTTATAAACTATGAATTTCGCCAAAAATTCACTACACCGATAAAATGCGATTATGCATTAGGAAATTTTCACTTTAATACACATAAAATTAAACATTTTGCACCCTCAAATTCACGTCTTTTCACAATTTTTCCACGAATTTCTACTCGTACGCGCTACACTGTTTCAATTTCTTGCATTTCGCTCCTTCGTTTTCAATAGAGATGGGAACTGCCGAATAAAAATTATCAAGTCATTCGATAGTTCATCAATTTTCATTCATTCGATAGTTCTAAGCAATCACTCATGAGTGATTTTCATTCTCGAGATTTTAACAATAAAAATTACAGTTGTTATCATTAGAGCGCTTAAGCTGAAGCTCCATAGCCGGTTTTTCAGGCGTTGAGGCTTGAGGCGCTCAAGTCTTAAATATGATTTAGTGCAATGGTATAGAGGCTGCTCTACAACCGAAGTGCGAAAAGCCTGAAAGAAGCCGACTTTCGAACTTGTTTCAGACTTTGTAGGCTTTTCAGGCGTCGTCTGACAGTTAACACATTCGAACATTAGTACTGGTAAATATGATTATGGCAACATAAGGAAAAAGTATTAATTAAATGAAAATAAGTATGAAACTATACTGACTAAACTAAAATGCAATGGTATAACACCCGATTTACATGATTCAAGTACTTGAAAGCAATTCTTGCTCATTCTCTTTTGTGTTTTCTATTTGCTTTTACACGTTTCAATTCTGTTGAATTCAAGTTTTTGGTTCTTTAAATGGGAAGCAACGAAAATGCCAAAAGCAAAGCAAGAAAGTTGAAACGACTTGACGGTACAGATGCATGTGTACACGTCCCCTTTCCTCTCAATCCCTCTCTTCCACATGCGAGCAGAATTGAATTCAATACTTGAACTGTGTAAAAGCAGTCTAAAAAAGTATCACTTTTATCGAACTAGTATTTTTTAGTCGATATCTCATTTGTCGGGAAACTCATTCCGATTTACTGCGAAATGTCAAAAGTTCGAAGAAACGTCAAGCGCGGAAACTTTGTTGTGGAGTTGCTCGCCTGAAAAGCCTGTAAAGCCCATGGTTCAATTATTAAAGGTTTTGTAAGTAGCTTTTTTCTAAAATTTAACACTCCGCCCACAGGGATGGTTTAAGGAAGCAGGAGTAAAGGGGAAGAATTCAATCACACTTCCTAAAATGGGAGATAAATTCCATAAAAAGGTATGGATAATAGTGAATGGTGGTATCTTTGGTGATTGTTATAAAATTAAATATTTCGATGTATAAACCAAACTTGCGTACGCCAGACGGCGCATAACTCGAGAATGGATGGTACACTTTGAGCTTTTTTTGTTGTACTTGTTTGCCATATCATGGATATGAAGAAGCTTTTTGTTTGTGAAAAACTTATGCAACATTTATAAAAAAAAAACAAAAAATAAAAAATTTGGAGCTTACTTTGCTTTCGCCCGCCCCCTTTTCCTGATTTCAAGGGTATATAAAATGTTTTGTGCAAATGATTAA